AAAATAACATATTTTGTAAAAGAAAAAAAAGGCTACCGGTAGATTGTTCACAAAGAGTACCCGTGAAACCTGAACGACAAATGCATTGAAAGCCTCCACCGGGTATTGTAATACATGATGCATTATTTTTGCACGGACTACTTGGGCAATTATTGCTAATACCTTCGAAAAAAATTAAAAGAAGTTTTTGCGTTAAATGAAGATCTTTTTAAACGATACTTCTAGGATAATCACAAAGATTGCCTGTAAAACCTTGTGGACATTTACACAGAAAACCGTTCGGAAATATTGAAATACATGCTGCCCCGTTGTTACATGGATTCGAAAAGTTATTGCAATAATTATTTACCGTTTCTATAGAATGTACAAAGTAATCATCGATTGAAGTTCAAAGATTTAATTGATTACTTGTTTTGATATTTATTAATTGTCCATGAACGAAAAATACAAAATTGATAAAAAGAACACTATAAAACGCCTGCATGTTTTTCGCTTTCTTTGTGATTGTATTAAATCCGTATATGTCAATCAGTTATATCGTGGATTAAAATGTTTATGTCAGGTAAATAGAAAGCTTGTAATATCAGGGATGTATATTTAGTTACTTTAAAGAAAAACATTGCCTTTTGTGTCATGAATAATATCAAAACAATTTATTTTTCTTTGTATTTAATGAAAAGAGCGAAAACAAAGAATTAGGTTGTTTTTTTGTTTATGAAATTAATTTGCTTCAATCAAATTTTAATTAAATAAAAGATTAAATTATTATTTAATTTCATCAAATTATCAATTTTTATAATTGATGTAGTCATTTTTATACAAGAAGAATTTTTTAGTCAATAAAATATTCAAAAATATAATTTTCTCGTATTCAAATAATTTATTCTTTATTATTGTCTGTTAATGTTTACGATATCATAATCGGACCTCGATATGCTCTAACTTTGTCCGTATCGAGGCCATGTGCAGTAAAACATCTTGTTATATATTCATTGTTTAGTTCGACGTAGAGGTTCGAAAGCAACAATAGACAAAAGATTCGTTTATTCTCTTCTTTATCTCTCTTTCTATATATTTCGGTCTCTTTCCATCGTTATTTCCATCGTTCATTTGTCAGATCGAACATATACATATCACATACATTCACGAATAAAAACAAAAAAGAAAAGGTATATTTATATCGTTTCATCTCTAAGTACATATCAAGTTGAAAATTTTTCGATTTTAATGGATACTCTTGGACCTCGCATAATGGTAAATGTTGGCACTCAAGCTGTTTCAAATACTGGACTTAATCCACGAGATTTAGCTCCATTAACAAATGATGCATTTCTTGCTACATTTATGGATAAAACATCATTATCAGCAAGTAATGGTATATCAAGACAACATAATAATTATCGACAATCATATACAACACAAATGGAACGTGTAACCATTCGTTCTAAATCACGACCATCAACAACTAGTGGTGAAACGATTGAACCAGATTCAGCTATTTTATCAATTATTCGTGGTAATGGATCAGATAATAATCAACAAGTAAGAATTTATTTTGATTATATATATGTATATATTCAAAAACAAACTTGATCTATTATCATTATGTTATTTTCCTATTAGCAAACATCTCAACGACAATTACAAGGTAATCGTAATCGTCGTCGTTCATTTAATCAACAACAACAATTTTTGTCTGGTTGGAATGATATACCTTGTTCACCAAATTATCGACCAACAAATGATTCAAATCGTCGACGTCGTACACGTTCTGGTGGTGCACAACAACAAATAACTGTTGTTGATCAAATGGCTGCACAACCACATATTCCTTATGCTATTTTACCAAAACGTTTTGAACCTAAACAAGTACCAACAAATAGTCTTCAACAACAATCACGTTCATCAAATAATAATAACAACAATAATAATCGTCGCCGTCGTCCAGTTGCTCCTCGGCGTTCACAACGACAACAAGGTTATTATGATGATCAATGGGAAGATGTAGAAAATAATAATGTATGGCCTGAATCAATGACGCGTCAACGATTATATCAACGACCAAATCGAACTTTTGGTCAAACTGCTGCTTATTCTGGACCACGTGTAATTATAGAAGAATTTATTTTTTTTAAATTAATTTAAAGACAAAAAAAAAATCTTGTTTGTGTTTTTCTTTAGCAACGTTTAAATAATTATTATGATTCATATTCATATGGTTCAATGTTTCGACAAGGACAAGTTTCGAATCGTCCACGTCGTCGTATGATGTATCAAGATGATGGTTATATTCCATTTGATATAGTACCATCATATGATCTTAATGAATGGCAAGGTCCATATGCACGATCAAGACAATCATTGTATTCGCAACAACAACGTGGTGAATTTCGGTAAAATAAAAAAAAATTGCTAAAATATATTTTTCAAAATGTTTTTCTTTGTAAACCATTAGTTATGGACGTAATGATAATGGTTTTATTCGTGATGATCATCGTATAAATAATTTCTCAAAACAAGCACGAAGTAATAATAAACCATTAACACCAACACGTAATGGTAAACAAACGAAATCACCAAGAAATAATAAAGGACAACAAAAACGTCGTAATTCACGACAACGTAAACAACGAAATCAAAATTCAAAAAGTGAAGGTATATAGAACGTTTTATAAAAGAATATTTTTCGTTTATTATTATTTTTTTTAATTTCAAGGAACACTATCAACAAATACAAATGAATTAAAACCAACAACAACTGAAAATGAAACTACAAATGAAGATAAAGAAAAAGAAGTAACGACAACTGAAACTGAAGAAAAACCATTACCATCATGTGATAATGAAACTAAAGAAATAGATGGTGAAAAACAAACAGAATAAAATAAAACAGTTAAATCTTTCTTTTTTTTTTCATCCCCTACTTTTATTTTATCTTTTCTGGTTGATCTTATAGACATTAAGAAAAAAAAGTCTTTATCTATCGTTTTTTATTACACGTTTGTTTGTTTTTGTTTGACTGTTGTTGTCATTTCATCGTGATATTATGTATATGTGCGTCTGTATTTATTTCTTGGCTTTCTGTTTTGTTAGAAGCCTGACTTAATGCACGACACATATCTGTTTCATTCTTTTTGCTCGTATTTTCTTTTATATTATTACGATTAAAACAAGTATATAAAAACTAAAAAGAAACATTCATTTCGTATAAAGAACTATTTGTGAGATAATAATTATCATCAAGGATATGATTCATAAGATTATACAAGTTTTTTTTCTAGTTCCAGTCACTAGAGACCGCTCCAAAATCTCATAATCAGATTTTTGACTATTTCAAATCCTCCTCATTTTCTTGATGATGTTTTCAAGACCTCGATCTACCTATATACTTCAACATCCTTTTTGGATCATGTTTCATAATCGTCTCTCTCTCTCTCTCAAATGCAAAACTTATATTATCTTACGATTGTGTTTACATTCGAAAAAACTTTGCTATAAAAAATTAGATCGGAAACTTTATTCTCGTCTATAATTTCGATATATTCTGATCACGTAAACAGTTATTGAATTCCTTGTCTTTATTATGGAATCAAAGTTAATGTTTTTGGGACTACCTCACGAATCATATGATTTTCGGAGAACTGCATAGTGATCAATGATCCTTTGACAGTTATACTAGACAATTTTCTTTGTCATTTAGAACAATATTAATTGAACAAAACGAAAATTCATTATTTCGTAAATAATTGCAAGTTTTATTAACCTCTTTGTTTTCATAATATTAACATGATGTGAAGTTTTTTCGTTTTTTTCAATGTAGCCTGAAAAACGAAGTGATAAAATTGAAATTTTTATAAAATAAAATTCACAATATTTAAATTATAAGTATTTGAGTAAAAAAAAGCACGATTAATAAGAAAAAGATAATTTTATTTCTTAAAATTAATTTTGAAAAGCAATATAAAATGTTTTTCTGTATAATTGTCCAGGATATTCATTTAGCCACGTCGTTTATCATTTTGTGTTGCTGCACGCCATTGATCCCATTCCTAATTAGAATATTCACAGATTTTATATACATAAATTCTTTTTTTTTTATTGTCTTACTTCAAGTTTTGGGCACCATCGTTGAAGACCAGTTACTTTATTAATACCCAAAGCACGTTCACATCTAAATATAATTATCAAGTATAAAACATTCAAAAATAATTTTTGTAGACGTACCGTTCTTCATATCTTTCTTTCGCTTCTCGACGTTGTTCACGAGGAAACGGAATACCAAAAAGACGTTTTTGTAAAAATTGTTGTGCATCATCGGGAGCTAAACCAAGTCAAAACTAATACAATATAACATCGAATAAAAGAAAAAAAATGATATACCATATTCGTTGTTGTCACTTTCATCATCAGCATGAGCGAGATGAACGAAAGAAAAAATAAAAATAGCACAAATCATAAATGCCAAGAGTTTATTCATATTGAAAATCTTGCAAATACAAATATATTGTAATGCTGTTTTGCTTTTATTTTACTACTACGAAGATGATTCTTATAATGTCTTATCGAGAGGAACTATTATATTTATGGAAAGGTCTCTGTATTTTTTTCTTTTTCTTAATCTAAAAGAAATTATATCCTATAGCATTTGTCTTTTTTTCATGTGCTGATAACTATTCATCAAATAAAAAAGATGAATGATATAGATACCGATAGGGATATTATAAAAGTTTGTCAACACTTATATTAATCGACACTTTTCTTACCCTCCTAGGATAATATGAATAATCGTCAGTTAGAATTTCTTTTTGTTTTTTTCGAGCAATTATTAAAGAGTACAAATACGTCAATAGTATTTCTTTTCTAGATACATAAACGAGCAATTGCGATAAGAAGCTTCTAAAGTAGATAGAAAGAGTTTTCTGTTTGAATATTTGAATATTTGTATGTACGATTATTTTTCTGTTTAGAAAATGAAGAAGTTTTCAATTCTTTTTTTGGTTATGATTGGCTTTTTGGCTATTACCTGGACTAGTGTAAAAGCTGATAATGAAGAAGATTTCGAAGAAGGTAAATTTTTATTTCTTTTGTTTTGATAAATGACATCATCGTTTGTAACCGTACTTATACTTCGATATGCCTTCATCTCTCATTTATAATCAATTCAAAATTATATATGAATACTTAGAATCGAATAGATGCTTTTTATTCTTAAAAAGCAATGTGTCATACAAGTAAAATTGAATTTAAAAAATAAACATGTAAAGTTTGAAAAAATGATGACATTATTCTATTATATTCGTTTGGATGATAAACCAAAACTTGTATTATAAAATTAGTAGAAAAAAAAACATGTGAACCACCAATGTCATGATAATATGATTCTAATAAGAATTGATTTTTTCAAGATATTAGATAAATAGAATGAATTTTAGACGTATGAGATTGGTGATAGAGGTGATTTTAATTTAGATATCTTTGGTAAATGAACATAATAAATTATTGGAAACATTATTCCTGAAGTGATTTCAGTAGGGGCTAGCAGAAAAACAAAGTGTCAATGATAATAAATGACAGTTTGTTTGACACCTATATTATTTTCTTATCTTACATTTGATGATATATATCAATTCATCATGTGCATTATTCAACTTTTTTTTTGATTTACTACATATATAAATAGTTCATTTGTGTTCGTGCTTAACTTTTTTTTCATTGCATCTCTCTATTCTAGATCGTTCGGAAGCTCATGAATTTCTTCGACGAACAATTTTTCATCCTACTTTAACTAAATGTGAAGAACAAAAACGTGAAGCTAAAGAAGACTAGTAAGTGTTGATATTTTATTTTGTAAGAAATTCAATGTATTTATATGAAAATTATTTTAATTTTTTAAAGTGAAGAACGTTGTGAACCAAGCAATCCAATTTATCGTAATAGAGGCACAGAGCGTAATTGTCCTGATTTAAATACATGGGATGCATTTAAAAATTATGAAATTGGTATGGGTCTTGACACATTTGATGATCTTAAACCAAATATTAAATTACCTAAATTACCAAAATTACCATCACGCGATGAAGTGAGCGACAAAATTTACAATAAAATTACTGGACTTAAAAAACGATAAATATCTTCATAAGAAGCTGATTGAAATGACAATTATTTCAAATTGAGTTTTACTTTACAATGTCTTTTTTATCTCTTCAATAAAGAAACATATGATTTATTGATTAACTTAAATTGATATTTATCAATGATTTGAATATATACACAGGGGAGCAGCTCGAATAAGTCATTTTCTAAAGCGAAATTTATTTGATACAAAAAGATGAAGCACGAAAAGGTCAAGAGAGTTTTGTAAGAAATTTTATTTAAAAAAAAAACTTTTTGCTTTTTATTATAAGAAAGATATGAACCATTATTTCTTGTCAACCGTAATAGAGGTACAAGTTTTTTTTTCCATCTAGATATTAATCATTAGAAAAGAAATTTAATAAATATGACAGATCCTATCGAAACTTTGAATTATGAAACTTAAATCTTCAATTCTCGACTTTGTTTTTCAAAAATGGAAATTTTTATCAGAAATGTTTATATATGATTTTAATTTATTTTTTGAAAAAAATTACAATTTTTGTGTCAAAAAATAAAACATTGCGAGTTCATTTTTGTATGATAATATTTAAAGCAATCAAAAATACATAGAGATACATTACAATCAAATCACACATATCATATATTATGTCGAACAATATGAGATGGGAGAACCACGCATTTTGTTTGAGGCCGTTTTGATTACTCAGTCAAACGTCTTTTTCTTCAAACAGTCATTGTGAAAAGGAAAAAAAACCCTTTCCAAACAATTCAAGAATAAACTAGTGGTACTTCTATTCAATAAATACATTCAAACGTATTAATATATTGCCAGGAGTCAATAGATTAAAAATAATCATCCAAAGGACAAAACGTTTCATTGTGTTTTTATGTCTATTTCTAGTTTCAAAAACAAAAATACTGAGAAATCAATATATAACAACAGTAAGTCTTAGAGCATACTTGTTTGAATTTAATCCAATTATTTCTTTCATGTATGTTTATTGCTTTGTACCATTAAAGAAAAATATAACATCATAGTTTAATTCGCACTATTAGTAAAAGAGAATAATAGAAAGAACAACAAAGAAAAACTTTGAGATTAATTATTACATCGTAAATCTGAATAGCATTTTATTGAAAGTAGACTCAATGTATCTTGCATCATTGTTAAGAAAACTACCCATGAAAACAAAAGCTTATTTGAGAAAACACTACTTTTGGAACTTGTAGTGAATATCAATCATAAAAACAATGACTTTCCATCATATTACAATATGAAGATCTTAAAAGTTACTTATTTTATAAAATTTCTTCATATTTCAAGACTTCGTTCATTATACAAAAAAAAAACAAATTTGTTCAAGAAATCTATACACTTCTACTGTGAACTTTTTTTATGTTAGCAAATTCGTAAAAGACTCTCCATTCGCTTTATAAATATGTGATAACTCGAAACTGAACATTATCAGGAAAAAATTTCCTTCATACTGATCTCTTTTTTTTTAATCACCAATAAAACGCGTGTTCATAGGTCAATTTTAATATTATAGAAGAATTTCAAAAGAAGCAACGTAGCGAAACCGATAATCACTTTATCAAAAGAATCATTAATTTTCACTTATAATTTTTATTCTTTGTCAACATCAAATCGAAATAAGACTGTAACGATATGCTAGAGTTCAAACATATTTGCATATGCAGTTAGGCTCGAAAATAAAATAATAAGCTCTTATATAATATTAAGTAATCGAAAAAAAAAAAAGAAAGAAAATTTGAAAGTATTTACTAAAATAAATTGGTTGTATAAAAGTCAGTAACATACCATTGTTTTGTTGTTGAATACAAGGCGTCAGCTTGATCAATCCTAGAAACAGTTTTACATCAAACTATAATCATTGCTTTTCATAGTATTTCTTCATCATTCATTCGACCTTCGTTGACAATGATGATGTTTCCTGATGATGATACCAATGAAAATCTATCGAATATAGGTTCTTCATCATCTTTAACATCATTTATGGATGATTTTCATTATTCACAACCAAAAATATCATCAACTAATGACTCATATTCTCATCAATATTATCAATTTTATGCAAATTGGCCTGAAACAACATCAACAAATCTTTCAATAAATTCATCTATACATAATCAATCAGTAACAACAGATCGTAATGTTAAAGCAAAACCTAAACGACGTCGTATAGCTAGTTTAGCTCAACGTCGTGCTGCAAACGTTCGAGAACGTAAACGTATGTTTAGTTTAAATGAAGCTTTTGATCAATTACGTGAAATAGTTCCGATATTTGCATATGAAAAAAAATTATCACGTATTGAAACACTTCGTCTTGCAATTATTTATATTGCATTTATGACTGAACTTGTTTTAAGTGGTAAAACAGTTGATGAAGCTTCACTGAATGCAAATGTTGTTTTAAGTCAATGGACAGATACATGTACTTATCAAATGAATTCATCATCGATGTGTGATGATACACCAACAAGTTCTGGAAGTGTTGTTATTGAATAGAAAAAAAATCCGTTTAATCAATCTTATATCCTTACGGCAATGTTTATTTTGTTCACCTTTTTTTTTTGTTTTTTATCCTTTACCATTGCCATTCTTATTGATTAAAAAATATATATATAATATCTCACACGTGTGTGTGTATAGTGTTCATTGAAGCGTTTTTTTTCTTTGTGGACCTGCTGTGACTTGTTTAAAGTATTTTTCATGATGAGAAAGAAATGATATGCTACTTAATGCCGCACAAAACTCTTGAATTAATTGACCAGGAAAAATTCAATTTTATATTCAAAGATCAAAAGAAAAAGTTCAAAAATCATTTATCGATACAGGTGTGTGTGTATGTGTCTGTTCTTCTTCTACTAGCATTAAATTGATGTTCATATTGCTTGACCATTGTTATGTTTAGTTAGCCGTATCCAGACATTTCGTCTTATGTCATTACATCATTTTTATTTTAATGTCTAAAGCTATTTGTCAAATAAAAAAGATGCACTGCTGATGCCATCAAATCGTTTTTTTATCAAATGACAAGCTGTGACCATTGTCATTGTCTTTTCTTTTTTTTCAATAGATCGACTCAAAAGACAAGTGAATACAAAAAAGAAAAATCTTAATATCAAATGAGAAAATAAGTGTATACATTGGCTGAATTTTCTTCTCAGGTTAAAATATCTCCAATAGGAAGTGAATATGATAAAGTGATTGATATATTTTCTTTTTTCTATCCAATCAACCCATTCACCTATTTTTTTCCTTCTTTTATAAATCAAGCACTACATTTTCCAACACGAACGTATACAATTAAGGTAACAACTGGACAAATATCATATTTTCTAGATAATGCTCCCCTTTCTCATGGCTCTTTTTCTTTTATTATCACCGAGCGCAACAGGTTTCTGAGTGTTTGAGAACAAACTGATGCCTTATTAATCATCAAGAAAATTTGAGATAAAATTCTAAGATTAATCTTAATAAATTCTTTTGTTTTCCTGTTTCTTAGCTCGATCAAAAAATAACCAACCAAACAAAACTGGCTTATTATCCACAATACGAGGACCTCGGTTCTGTTGCTTCAACTTCACTTCCGTCAGTTACTTATCAACACCCATCAGTTTATTCAAATTCTAATACATGGTTTACTGGAATATCCGATAATGAACATAATCATAATCATCATCATCATCATCATACATCATCTTCCTCACATCTTCTAACATCATATCATTTAAATAATGGAGATTTAGTTTCGGATGTTTATCGTTTACCAATTGAAAATACAAATTCAAATTCATTTTATGTACCTTATCAAACAACAGTAGTTAATTCCGATAATGATGAAAATGATTTAGAAGATGGTTCTGATGATGATGATGATGATGATGATGATACTGATTCAACATATCATTTACCAAAACGAATAAATAATAATTCAATAAATAATAATAATAATAAAATAACAACAACAGATCAACGTCGACCAACACGTCCAAATGGATCAAAACGAAAGCGAAAACGTGTTTTAAATGGTGTTCAACGTGCTGAAGCAACACAACGTGAAAAACGACGTATGCTTAAACTTAATCGAGCATTTGAAGATTTAAGAAAAGTTTTACCAGTAACGGAATTTGCACGAAATAAATTATCACGTTCAGAAACACTTAAATCAGCTATTGATTATATTAATCTTATGTTTGATATGCTTGATGCTGCAAAAGGTCATCATCATTCTTCATCTTGCTTATAATAATGTATTTGTATTTTGTCAAATAAAAACATATATAATTAAACTAATTCAATATTCATCGAAATGTATATCATGATTATTATTGTTTTTAATAAATTCAAAGTTTTTTTTTTTGTTGTGTTTAGATTAAATATGAATTCATAATTGATAAAGTCTTACAAACAGAGAAAAGATTTAGATCTTACTACAGTGATGTGTTCTTCTAATTTGAAAGTCTCGTTCTTGTATACAAACTATTTTCTTATAGCATTTTTAAACGATTAAGTAAACGTATAGTGAATAAATTCGTCTCAAAATAGATAGATCTCATGTTTGACACTTTAATTTTGCAGGGATTGTGCTAACAGTTTTTCATGTATCTTATAGATTTTAATACTTTGGAACTTCAAACATAAAGATAATATGATATGTTTGTAATAGAATTTTTAAACTAAATAGTTTACAACGAGTTGCCCATACCAGATATGGACTGAGAAATTCGAATATCACAGTATTTACAGTCTATGTTATATGGTCACACTTCAAAATTTTAACAAAATTTTTTTCTTCTTTCGTTACGATTGGATAGAGTCCAATGAAATATATAAGACAAAACAATATTATAGATATTCCAAAGCGATTGTAAAACAGGCAACATTTTATGCTTCATATCCTAATATTTAACAATAATGGTATCTTGAACTTATTCGTTGAATTGCTTTTGAGTATGTGTGATATTATTTTTTTTCCTATGTAACTTGCAGAACTCGATTCAATCAAGGTGAAAAAGAGAAAAATAGATGCTGCTGAAATTTGGAAGTATGATCATATGAAGTAGACAGTAAATATCGTAATACTTGATCTTCTTTGTCTGTGTAATACGATGGGCAAATCATATTTTAAATTAGCTAGTTTGATGATAAGAGCATTCATTTGATGTGAATATGATCAATCTAGTTAAATCACAATACATTATCTTTCATTGTTAAACGGATTTATAATCAATGCAGCATGACAATTATTTTTAGTTTCATTCAGCGAAAAAAAACCACATCGATTGTAATGATCATCTTTGATAACATCGCAAATTTATTTCAATTTATATTTCGATTATGTCATTTTATTTTGATGAAGTGTGTCCTTTTCCTTTTCTCTTTATCACAATATTTGATCGTTCACACATCATAAGACAGACTAACCTATCTCAAGTATTTGAATACGAGACTATACTCTAACCAATTGAATACACATAGACAACTATCCATGTCTTCTTTCTTGGCAGCTGTTAGTGTGATCAACTTATCTGTACTCGAATATAATTTAGGTAGTACTGTACAAATGAACTAAATTGAACAATTGGTCTCCACTTAATATCAACTTGACACGTATATCAAGATGACTCAGTTAGCTCATATTCAAAAAAAAGAGGAGAGGGAGGAGAAAACACACATGTATAGATGTACATTTGAGTATGTCTTCATGAAATAATGAACATCGCGACGTACTTATCAGACCTGTTGAAAAAAACACACCTTGGTACAAATTGATATATCATAGAAAATTGAACGTATAGTTTTACTTTTTTTCTATTTTATTTACAATTATCTATAATACTCGAAGTGAATTATTATAAATAGTAACGTTCGGTATTTCAATCTTTCAATTTACTACTGATTTTACTATCTGGCATGATTTGTTTATTTTTTCAATTTTTTACATAGTTTTTTTCAACTAATTCAAATGTATTTTTAAAACGTATGTACATCAGCTATTGTTGAAGACCTTTTGATACAAAAAAAGTTGCACAAAATTTATTTGAAAAACAAATCAATCGTGCATTAAAATCGTTCATTCGAATTATTCATTACAAAATTTTCATAATACAATAAGATAGTGATTTCACCAACCAATAGACGATGAACAAGATCTTCTCGATTTGTTACAGCTGTACATAGATCATTAATACTAAAAACTGTAGAAGTGCCATAGCTGTTAATTGACATTCACGATTTAAACGGATAATATTAGTTTGATGATTAGCTAATGTACGAATATTAAACGATCCTAATAATCAAAATGCAACTATAATAAATATAGGCAAACAACCATCAAGAACAGGATGGTAAAAGTTAGAAATAAATTTCTTTTATAACTTAAACAATTATTGTATATACACTAGCAAGTGTATTCCAATAGAAGACAGCTAATATTTCATTGAAAAACCAAATATCTCAAGCACTTACACCTTGACAACAAGCTAATATTAAACTATCAAGATGTCGTTAAGTAGTCATTGATAAAAATTGATCGATTCTTATCAAAGATATATTATTTAACGAAAGTAAAACACAAGACTGACCAAAGAGTTAGCAGTGGTGTCACGGCTTTTAATCAGAGGGTTGGGGCTGAGGCTCTTTAGACTTTGTGCGGAATCACCGTTAGCAACAATTCCTAAAATTTTATGGAAAGCTCAGTCCCTTTCTACTTCCCGTGACGTCGTCACTGAAAGAAATATACAAATCTTACAAAAACATAATGCAAAAAAATGTTTGAAAAAAATTCTATTCAATAATTTAGCCACAACATTTTAATCAAATATAAATATTTCTAATACAAATATTCATTTGTTAGGTAATAAAATTGATTTAAAGAGAAGTTTATAGCATTGTTCGAAATCTCTCACATCAAAATCAACGTAAATATTTTAGTTAACAATGATAAAAATACGAAAAATATTTTTAGAACTTGTTCTTTGTAAAGATGGTGGTTGAATGCACTTGATTTCATCTATAAGAATGAAGATCTTAAAAATAATTGTTGTTGGTATAGTACACAGATAAGACATGCTCGAGATAAAGATCAATAACATAGGGTTGAACAGTTACGAATCTATTGGAATTGATAAACTACCCCTGTAAACTTTGTATAAATGTAAAAGTTAATTGTGACAAAAATTATCAAGTTTATTACATTTATATTTTTAGAATAATAAAAAAATAGAGTTCCAACCACCAATTAACTTTTAGGGAATTAATTCTATTATTAGAAATATTCATATAAGCATAGATTTAACAAAAAAAACAGACTTGTCTTTTAGTCACTGTTAGAAATGCCAGTTTTTAGTGTAATAGTAAAAATATAGAAATCGACAAGAAGCCTATACTTAACATTAACTAATAGAAAAGTATCTTAAAAAGAAAAAATTTGAAATAGTTGAAAATTATTGTTGTGTTGTTAATTAAACAATCTCATGAAGACATCCGTTTTACTGCCTTATCTTTAGAAGAACCTTAATTGATATTGAATGGATGAAAAATAAATTGAAAAAACGAACTTAAAAGAAGCTAGCACATTGGCAACAACGCGATTTATTTTTAATAGTTATTTAAAACATGAAGAAACCTATTAAAAATAATACAAGACGGCAAGGTGATACCTGACCAATATATATGAAGTATGAATTTGACTCTTATTGAATAAAATACGTAATATAAACATGCAATATTTATTTTGTAAATCATCATTTGATTATTTGACTAAATTGTATGTCAAAAATAGAGTCATAAGCTTCAAATGCTCTTATTCTGAATATTCGATCGAAGTATGCACATGAGTTTTAATAAGAAGCAATGCCTTATTTTTAAAATTTCTCTTGATTTTTCTCAAAGAATCACCGTCTATTATTGCTTCTTCATAGATTTGTATTATTTAGTCGGCGACGAAAGTCTTGCCCGTCTTGAAATGAATTTTTTATTTTATTTTTGACGTATGAAAATAGAATACAACACATATATATACAGAGGAGTTCGAGACATTTACGCAGCACATAGCGGTTTTATAAGTGTTTGCTTCTTCTTTGAGCAAAGTCAAAATATGTGAATACATCCATTTTTGGATGACCAATTGAGAGATGAGATGGCTAGTGTGAAGTGAGTTCGAGTTTATAACTTTCGATCATCCAGAGGGAAGAGCTTTAGCTATGCTCCGTCAACAGCCAATACCAAGAACACTGAGCATGAAATTTCGAATTGTAATTCATTCACTAGAAATCCGTCAGCTTGAAATTTCGGTCTCTTATCATACAATCCATCTCATCTCTGAACAAGTCATCCAAAAATGGATGTATTCACATATTTTTACTCTGCTCAAAGAAGAAGCAGACACTTATAAAACTTCTATGTGCTGCGTAAATGTCTTGAACTCCTCTGTATATATATATATGTGTTGTATTCTATTTTCATACGTCAAAAATAAAATAAAAAATTCATTTCAAGACGGGCAAGACTTTTGTCGTCGACTAATTATTTAACTTCTAATCTAGAATTTCCTTCATTTGATTTCGTATTCCTCAAATCTGTATATCCTTTGAATGAATATTCAGAAGTTTCTTGTAAATTGAAGTGATTCCGAAGTAGTTAGAGAATATTAATTGCAAAATTGAGAAAATATTTGCTGGGATATACCTTGTGTCACATAACACAAAGTTCTGATGAAGAAATATTTGGAGTATCATTGTGCATTGTTTAGTAAATACTATAATTAAGTGTCGTTGAGCTCTTTATCTTTATTCTAGAGAAATCACCGGATCACAAATTTAAAGTTTATATTCTGAAGAGACTGGAAACTAGACAAATATAAGATAATTGTTTTTCTTTGGCGAGGATTCCTTTTTCCTAACAAGAACTTTAGTTTCATCAAAAAAATGAATGAAGCATAGAAAAACTAATTATTACTTTTTATTCGTCCCATTATTTGATTTTATCTTTGTGTACAAAGCATCATGTTGATTTTTATACTATCCTGATATAATAATAGATTTTTGCAGTATTTATTTTCTAAGAAACTAGTCAGATTCACTAATTGTCGTATTTATTCTTGTATTTTCTGTATTCATCTTTCTTTCTTTAATGCTGGCTATCATTTACTATACATTTTATCCTTCGATTTTATTTCTGTTTAGATGTTAATTATAATTAATTTCCAGTATTGAAAAACAAAATATTTATAGATCTCTAACACTG